TTCCACAGAGGAAATGCTGACACCCAGGGTAAAAACCAAGTCCAGTGTATGACCACGGTTATGTGTTTGCCCTTTGACATGTTGTTTGAAGTTAAAAGAAGTGGCCATATTTAAAAAGCCAGTTGCATTAACATTTTTGGGGTCATCAACATGAATATTAAAATCGCCACAAAGAACAATTCTGTCATAATTTAAAACCAGAGTAGATAAAAATTCAGGAAGTTCTGATAAAAATCCTCCAGGCGGTTTTGGGGGGCGATAAATTATAACAAATATGATCGGTTGCAGCCCTCCAACTTTAAGAGTGAGAACTTCAAAGGAGTTAAATTCATCACAGCGTACTTGATGACATTTAAAATTTTTCCTATACACGCTCACTAGCCCACCACCACGACCACTGACCCTCGGTTGACTAAAACAATCATATTGAGGCGGACACAGTTCAGCTAGCTGGCTATAGTCATTCATCTGCAACCAGGATTCAGTTAAAAACATAAAATCTAGATTTGCAGACAAGATAAAATCATTTAAGATAAAAGTCTTAATTGAGAGAGATCTCACATTGAAGAGAGCCATTTTAAATGAGTTTGTTCTGGGTGCTGGAGTTGGTGCAGTTGTCCTAATCCTTGAGAGATTACTAATATTTCTGTGTGGGATGTGCACATTTCGGTTTACTGGTCTATGCGTGATGATGACAGGAATAGAAGTCTGTGGAACAGCGCTGGGAGCAGACGGCTTTACATGCCAGCAGGTGGAGACAGTTATTTGTGGCAGTGAGGCAGAGATCTGTTCAGTGACCGGTGGTGTGTCCAGGTGTGCTGCATGACTGATTAGTCATTCACGTAAGTCATGTGTGGACCGCACCACATGCTGTGTGTGAGCAGCTAACATTTCTGAGCCCCGTTTGTTTGGGTGAAGTCCGTCTGTCTTAAAAAGAGACATTCTTTGCCAGAAAATATTAAAATTATCCACATAAAACACACGGTGAGCCCTGCAGGCGGACTGGAGCCAGTCGTGGAGGCCAAGGAGTCTACTGAAGCGGCCAGCACCGCGACCGACTGTGGGAATGGGACCAGAGATAAAAACGGACTTTACACACTGCTTTAAAAAGTTAAAAAGACGGTTAAAATCTGTTTTTTTCAGCTCAGACTGCCGAAGAGCTGTGTCATTTGTTCCGACATGGACTATCACTCTTGTGATGGAGGACGGGAGCGACGGCATCAGGTCCTGGAGTTTTTTTAAAATGACAGCCGTGGTGGCATCAGGGAAGCAGTGAGTGGTAGCGTTAAAGAAACGGAGGTTTCTGGTTATGGAGTCACCAATTATTAGTGTGGTTGGGGAGAAAAGAGGACGAGGAGATGCTGGTTGTGGGGATCCAGAGCAGGACTGAGCAGAATCTGCTTCAACACTGCGTGCGGACTGAGGATGGAGTGTGTGAGCTGCCGAGTGTTGTGTTGGAGTAGCAGTAACAGACCTGAGAGAAGGGCTACCCGACGGTGCAGGGTAGAGACGGCCTCCGGAGCGTCTGAGCACAGCCTCCTTCAGGATCCTACGTCGGGAAGCGGAGGTTTTTGACCGGGATGACGGCCGCCGATCAGGTCCGGCGGCAGACCGGCGGCCCAGTGCAGGAGATGTAGCCGGTGAAGGAGATGCAACAATGTCGGCAGGCACTGTGGGCCGAAAGAGATCCGTATCAGGGAGACTCGAAGCCGCATGTGCATCAGCTGGATGGACCGGAGTGTCGTTAGACAAGGCTGCATAGCGGTTGGAGAGGCCGATGTGCGGAGGAGAGGCAGCCCCATCCGAGCCTCTCTTGCAGCCACGGACCACCACTTCAGCCCAGGTTGACTGATGCTTCGGAGTCGAGCAGGATGAAAGCCTGGGAAGGCCAGAGGGGTCACATAACACGGTGTCCTGGATGTTAGCGGTTGTGCTAAGAGAAACAATCTGTTTGGCTTGTACTGAAGCTACATCCATAAAGCCAGTCAGCAGGGAATCTTTCTCTTTGAGTTCCTCTGAAAGTCGTTGGATGTCTTCCATAAGGTCAGCAATCTTCTTGTTCGCTTTCTTAAGGAGTGTGCAGTCCTCATGGGGCAGAGTTATCTCGGCTAGCATAGACACCGGAGCTTTGTTGCGATCAGTAGCGTTGATCGCGTTTTTACGGTCATCTATCTTAAAATCCATGTCGGATGACTAAAATCCTTAACCCACGTAAAACTTAAAATAAAGTTAAGTTAAATAAAAAGGATATAAAAAATGTAACGAAAAAAGAGTGGATTAAAACTGGATAAGAGTCCGGTTTAAGACGGAGCTTCCGACAGGTGGCTACAGACGCCAACGCATGTGCAGAGTGCAGATTACGTCAGCAATTACGTCAGAGATCTTGTGACAAGATGATGCAAGGTGACATAACATCACAAGAAAATTATATGCACTAATAGACAAGGCAATACAGAAAATGTAAAGACTAAGCAGACGGGGATAAATAAAACACAAGTACAGAACAGTAAAACATAAACAACAACAAAAATAAAATGAATGATAAAAGAAACTAAATAAAATACAAAAAACAAAAAGATAGTGTATGAGGGACTTGTGTATGTTTGCTGTGTTTTTTGTCTGTTTTTATTTTCTCTTTTATATCTTCTGTACAGCACTCTGGTTCCACTTGTGGTGTTGAAAGTGCTCTATAAATAAAGTTGAGTTGAGGGAGATATAAAGTAATATAAAGCCTATATATTAATAGATCTTTTATTAAGTAATTTGCTAATTATTAAAAAGGTTTTAATAGCTTTTTTGTTTAATAATTTAGAGACCGAGTTAAAGAGATATTGCAATATCTTTTGTTATAGCTGTTAACGCATATTATTTAATGTTAATACAATTATGTTATGTAGCTGTTTGGTGTTATTTCGATCGTTAATATAAGTTTTGGTAATGTTTTCATTTTTACTTTCTAGCCGCCATTTTATTACGGCAGGCCGTATACCTTGAGCAATGTAGCTGGGCAGAGATTTCAGCATCTCTTTCCTAGTCTAAGCGCTGTGTGTTTGTATGTTTGGGAAGCAGAGGTCTGCATTGTCTGCATATACACTTTTTATTCGGCCCACCAGGTGTCGCTGTTTTTATAGATTTGTAATAATCAATGTTCAATGTTTCTCCACAGATTTAACAGTCCACTGTGAACAGTGAGGAAAAATAATGTATTTGTAATATATTTTAAATGTATGAAGTATGAAGCAGAGGGTCAGTGTGAGGAAGCCGGTCATGACATCGCCCCCAGAGTGCGGGTGCTGCAGACACTCAGCAGTCCTCGGGCAACACCAGCCGAGCAGCCGCAACCGCTGCAGCATTTCCTGTGGAAATGGAATCTGTTTTGTTAGAGTGTGCATCACATTTTATTACTGCAATAGCAGTGGGGGGCAGAAGAGCAGGAAGGGACCCTGGGGACGGACCGGCCTGCCACCAACGAGTTGCTTCTTAAAGAGAAATGTTGTATTTGCTTCCTCTAATTAGTCATTTGTCACTTCCTCATAGTAACTGTCCTTTCCATTTTCTCTCATATGTCAGTTGTTGCTTTAAATGGAGACAGACCTCCTTCTCTTATGGCTGACATGAGCTGGTATGAAGTTCACACTGACCTGAAGTATCTGGAATTAACAGTGAAAATTTAACCCTTGTGTGTTTCCACATTTTCCTCTCATTCAGCTGTTTAGTTCAACTCTCAAAAGAGACTCAGTGAAGAGTTTACTTACATACAATTACAATTACAATTACTTTCATACCAGAACATAAAAAATAACCTGAACAGAGATATAGATGTTAAAATGACTGCATATCAAACAATAACAGCTGATACAGAAATAACAGTAAAAACTAATACATGTTTAACTACAACACAGCACTAGCACATTAAAGTGCCTGACAGCAAGTTCATCAAGCTAAATGTCCCATTTATTATGTTCAGTTACATTTCAAGCAGCAAGATAATGTTGTTATTGTGCTACTAGTTAACCTACTGCACCCCCTTCTGGACTAAAAGGCTTTTTACAGCAATACATCCTGAAAATGGTCATAAAATAAGTCGAATAAAAACATTTATCAGTTATCAGTGAACTGTAATGATATGAGCTGTAACTACACTGTGGTCTCTTATTTGTTTGGTTAGTTGACGGTGGCGTAGAGGTCGCTGGGATCAGCTGAGGCTCCAGCAGAAGAAGAGGAAGCTTTCACGCTGCTGTAGGTCACTGCATCATCTTCATCATCACCATCTTTACCCAGAACCTGGAAAAGAGACAAACAGCACAACACAGAAATTACACAACATTAAATGAGAGAAGTGTTTTCATTCACTGCCATCATCACTAGAACCAATCAGACAGCTTACCAGGCCTTTACTGTTGGTCTTCCTGGTGTAGCTGATGGAGGCGTAGGAAACACCATCTTCAGGATCAGCCTACACAGAGAAGACAACATAATGGCTGCTCAGTAACATGTGGACTTGATTGTGTTCTGGTCTGTTCTGGTGTCGTCCAGCTGCATCATCAGACTCCCCACTTCTTCTCTTGCAGAAAGAACTTAGATTCAAGAGTCACTGTGTGTCTCATAGAGCTACATTTTGAACAACAAATCTAAAAACAGTGAGTGTAACTTTGTCCTGGGTGTAGTGTGAGATCTCACCGTGTCCTGACTGCTTTCTGGACTCACTGCAGGGTTTAAGCTCCGTCCCTGAAAACAACAAACAAACAGAGTCTACTTCCATGTGGTCAAACACTGGCTCTGTGAAGGCTGTTTAGATTTGGATGACTCTGTCAGAGAGCAGCTGATTCAGCTCTGTCATAACTGTAGAAACATTTGATTACTCAGCCGTAAAACTCACAGTGTTTTCATCCATCTGGGGTTTTTTTCCTGAAGAGACAAAAGAGAGTCGACTTTAGCTTCAACAATAAAAATCCAGGTTCATCAAAACTTCTTGTTTATAATATCTGTGGTTGCTCTCACCTTTAGTTTTCTTCCATATGATGAATCCAACAACAATAACAACAGTTATTAAGAGAGCTGCAACTGCAACATACCACCACCAAACTCGATAGACTATAAAAGAGGACAACATCTTATTTTGTTATTTTGTGTTGTGTGAAGACGTCTGACTGAGACTGACTGAATAAGAAAATCTCCACCCACAGCCGAGTGTCGCTCTGACATTCAGACTTCGGGATTCAGAAGAGTAGAGAGATACAATCAATAATCAATAAATCAATAATAATTTTCTCGATCACTCCCTATTTTCTGTTTTATACTACAATGAATGGTCAGTTTTGTCTTTCAAGAAAGTGACAAGAAAGGCTTTGATTATTTTATGTTTTGCCATAAAAAAGGCAGAGAGTAGAAACATGTAAAAAATAAATAGACAATGAATATAATAAAAAGTAAAATAATGAAGTTCAGTATGTGGAGAGAAAGAGGCTGACAGGAAGACAGAGAGACTCTAGAGAAAGATGACTTACTACCTTGTAGTTTTGTTGAAGTATCATTAGTTGTTGTTGTGGCTGTAACTGATTTTGTGTTTTCAGTTGTTGTTGTTGTTTGTGCGTCACCTGCATGAATGAAATAATAGAAACCCAAGAAACCGTTCAGTTAGAAAATCCCTCATGTTTACCATCTGCTGTCACTAAATGAGAAAGAATGATGTCATCTTAAAAAGTCATTAACAGCTCAGCATATTCTCACCTGTTTTCTCACCTGAGGACTGAGGGCTGAAGGTGAACAGCTGCACTTTTCCAGAGGAACCATCTGTCACTTCACACTTCAAGTTAGACTTTGATTTGTAACTAAAATGAGAATCCAGGAAAGACACAGCGGCGTAGCAGACAGACTGTGATGTCTTCATGTCTTTGTTATCTTTGTCCACATCTTTACCCTCATACAGCCACTTCACTGTGTGTCTACAGAACTGTTCACGTGTCGACACAGAGCACCACAATGTCACCTCATCAGCGTCCTTACGTTCAGTCACTGGTGAAGATGGAGATATTGTGAGAGAAAGACAACAAGAGTAAAGTTAACTTCATCACTGTGATCATAATTATTGTAATGTTTCAGTATATTGTTCTAACAAGACAGTTTGAGCTGAAAACATTATGATGGAAATACTCACTGATAATAACAGACAGATAAACCAGAGACTCTGGAGCTTGATGTTGTCCTGATATGAACTGTTGACAGTAATAACGACCAACATCCTCGACTGTGACCTTCTTTATAACCAGAGAACAGTTCTCTGTAACACTCAGTCTGTCTGATTTAGATTTGGCGTTTTCACCAATCTGCCCAAGATTAATCAGCTCTACTAATACTCGGCTTCCTGAACCAGCAAAGGTCCATGTAGTATATTCACAGTTTTGCTGACCGTCTATCACATTTTCACAAGGCAAAGTGACGTCATCTCCAACTCTGACAGTGAAGTAGAGGGGAAGTTTTTCAGCTGCTGCTGTTGAGAAAATGATGAAAAATAAAGTGAAATGAGAAAATGTCTGTTATGTTCATAGATAGTGATGATTATTTCTTTATCCTTAGTTTCCAAGAGTTCACTAAACTCACTGGTCCGTTTATCATCCGATCATTCAATTATTCCATTTAATCTGGCAAACCAAAAACAAAAAAACTAATAAATATTTCATGTTTCTGTTTTTCTATATGAATCAAATATGAAAACTGACGTTTGTTTCCTTGCTTTCAGCTCAAAATGAGAAATATAATAAACAAGGAAACCAAAACAAAATAATAGGTCGAATTTACGTTTTCTGTATTTTTCTTTATGTGTTTTCCCATTTCTCACTGTGCCGTCCATTCTGATTTGTGCATGTGCAGTGGATGATCTCCAACCGTGGAACGAGCCTACGAAGCAGTGTCCCTCAGTGGCAAGACTGTATGACTGCATGCTGGAGCCTCTAGTCTCTTGCCCTGGTGCCATCCACAAGCTTCTACGTTGCAAAATAAAAGCTTGTGTCTGGTTTGTGTTTTTGAACTGAATTAAAATGGCAATCGTGCAAATTAATAAAATACTTAATAAAATATCTGTCAATAGATAAATGCAGAATATCGTGTTAATCATTAAAAAAAACTTCTATAAGATGATGGTAGACAGACTAAAGATCCATTCTGAGATCATTATTATTTTATTCCAGAAATCTGGTTGAAAGATTGTTTTAAACTTTTAAGTGTTATTATCCACTGTTACAGTTACAGTATTAGCGTGTATGTCCATGCTATAGACATACAGGCAAGCATACTGATTGAGATTCAGTCAGCTTGTGTGAAGGCCTGTGGGTGTGCTGGTGATTATCTATATGTCACATGTATAGCTTAATCCTTTTGTTTTTGACATTATACAATGTTCATCCATCCATCCATCCATTGTCAACTGCTTATCCTGTGTACAGGGTCACAGGGGGCTGGAGAAATCCCAGCTGACGTCGGGCAAAAGGCAGGGTACACCCTGGACAGGTAATATAACTAATTACTTTAAAATGACAATAACTAGTAATCTATAATGTATTACATTTTTGGAAGTAACTTGGCAAACACTGATCCTGTGTATGTGCCATCACAGTGACACATAGACACACACACACACACACACACACACAGTAGAATAAGCAATTGTATTTACATTGATTTCCCTATTAATTGTGGAAACAATATAGGATCTAGAAATAAGTCTTTGAAAGAGTATAATATTATTATTTTATTCTTATTATCCCTCTCCTCCTGCACTTAATTATCAGAAATTGCTGCAGAATCCATAGAACATATCCTTCTCTTCCAGCGTACCCTGTGTTTAAAGCAAATACAGAACAAAACCATACTCTTGATCTGCTCTGATACAGTGTTTAGATTTCTTTTGTTTCAGACAGTCTTTTTTGTTAGCAACAAGTGACTTACTCAGCACAGTAGGCTATACAGTAGGCCTATACCCGGCATTTTTTAAAAGACAAAAGGTGTATTCCTTAGGTCAAACTCTGCTACAATAAATTTCTAGAGGTAACGTTGATATTTGCTAACAAACGTCATATTTAAATATATGTTAACATCAGGGACACATCCAGCAATCTGGGACAATTAAGGTAGTTTAACACTACTTTGAAGAAATATTCAATGATAAAATGTAAATGGGGGGTCTGGGTGTCCTCCCCAGAAGATTTTGAGCATTAATTAATTTCCTGCATTCTGGAGAAAGTTTCTGCACCAATTTATGGAGTAAATGTCTTTACTTACAACAATAAAAGGGAATATAATGCAGTAATCAGTAGATTTTTTTGTTGCTTAAGTAACTTTCTTGGACAATGCACATTTATTTCTTCTATATTTAAATTGCATTGCATGTTTTCTTATTGTGCAAATAAACCTTTCTCAAAGCTTTTTCATTTGTAGTGTAACATTTCTTATTCCAAACTATTTTTCAGGACATATTTAACCAATTATGCTTTCAAAAAGTGATGGGGGCATGTCCCCAGCCAACCTAGTGTAAATGACACCAATGGTAACAGATTTGTAAAATTTCATGAATGTGACTGGCAGAATATGCTCAAGAGTTTTTTAAGAGCACACGTTTATAACAATTCACATATGCAGTTAAAACAATGGCTGTCCATCTGAATATGTTGTAAAGTCTGTCTGCTCTCTGTCTGTTTTTCTGCTGTTTCTGTTTTTATCTGCAGTTTATTACAACCCGAACATTTTTGTGTGACTGTTTTCTTGATCATTTCTCTCGGTGTTTCTCTGCAAAATGCTTAAATGGGTCACCAAATATAGTTGGGTGGCCGTTAATGTACCTCAATGGCCGCCCAAGTTAGCCGATGTGTGAGAAACACTGATATTAATATCAATCTGACCGGCCCACACCAAAACAAATAGTCCCTCTGGCACATGTCAGTATTGCCAGGTGGCCAACCCGCCCCTGTATGGCCAAAATCGTTGATTTAAAAGTTTAAGTTTTTTAATTGATTGCAACAGACTTGCTTATGAACTTACCCGTGACTCCGACTCTTTCTCCTGCTGCTGCTGCTTCTTCTCTTGATTAATGGCGGGTTGCAAACAACTTAGAGGAGTGTGTAACACACATATAATTTGCGACCCTTGATAGGCTACTACATTTAAAACGATATTTCTACCAGATTGCTTTAATACAATATAATAACAATGATAGAATGGATCTTAAGTCTGTACTGTGTAGGCCTATCTTATAGACGAAGTATTTTTATTCATTAGCATGATTGCCTGAACCAGACGCAACTATCTGTGACATTTGCAGAATAATATTTGGAAATATATTAGGTATGAGAATATAATTGCAATCTAATAAGAATGAAGTCATAATATTTTAACAAAATCCACCTGCCCTTCTGCTGTGCATTAACCGGTGTTCTGCTGATATGGTAGCCTAGTGGTTATCCCCTATTATCTGACAGACACAGAGTCGCCTGGGAAAACTGAAACACATAAATCTCACAAGCCTACACATCTATATAAATGTTAACTATAGCACCTCTGATAAAGTGCAGCTCACAGTCGCTTCAGAAGGAAGCATCCTGGAACAGAGAGACTGTCCCAAACAGAGCAAAGTGTCTCTGAGCGGTGAGAATGACAGAGACACAGAGCGACAGGTGTCTGTGTCTCGGTCAGGTGTGTCATGTTATTCTCTCACTACTTTGCGGCGGACTAAACCTGTTAAAAACAGGCCCCTTTTTCCAGAAAAAACGCCTTAAATTTCATACCCAAAATGAATCAGGAATAACTCCTTAACCATTTGGCCTAGATGCATAATTCTGGTCTCCTTTGAAAAGTCAGAAGCTAAGGAATATAAATCCATTGTGTATTATTCTATTTATTTTACTTTTACAGACTACATGGAGATGCAATAAAGAAAAAATCTGATTTTTTTTATCCTCGCCTGGTAAAAAACGTTATATTTTAATACAATAAACCATCAAAACCATCCTGAGGAAGCTTTTAATGCAACTGAATATCTTCTAATACACCTACAATGCACTTGTAACTGTAAATCTGATGAAAAAAAACCAAAATACTACAGTTATCAAACAATATTTTCAAATATACCAGGCGAATTTCCATATTTTGGCAATATTTATTGTTAAAATGCTGACTTTTATTGATAGATATCTTTAAAATACTTTTTCAGTCCATACAACCAATTTCCAAATGACAAAATTGAAATATTGATAAAAACAGGAGTATTCATCAACATTCCTGTCACCAAAAGCACTCCCATGCTTTACAGGCCTGTAGATTGAGAACAGAATATCAGCGATGGGGGGGGGTATCAATCGAGCAGACCTTACATTTGATATCCTGCATGTCTATATATCTCCTTGAGCACATTTTGGTTTGATCACATCATTACAGTTTTTCTCAATTGCTAAAACACAATTTCTGAAACCTCGCTCCATTTTCTGAAAATGTGAAACACAAAACCTCAGCTTCAAGCACTATTTACAAAACCTCTGACTCCTCGTGCAAAATGAAACTTTCGCCTCAAAAC